TTTAATTTTCCATTCTTTCATATTTGACTACTAATTACAACCAAACGCCTAAAGTTACAAATATAACAACAAACACCATTGATTCCACAAATATAGTCTATAAATGTTGGATTCCCCAAACATTCAGCTTTCATATGCATCTTTTGGATTCATTCTAGTATTATAGTTTTGGAGAAAATCAATGAAATGTGAAAACACTGCTTTTTCGAGCATTTTTTAAACTTTGAACACGAATTACAGCCAAACGGCTAAAGTAATATATCGATACTTGCTCAAACATTCAACTTTCATATGCATCTTTTGGATCTATTCAATGCAGTATATAGTTTCTGAGCAAATCACTAAAATGCGAAGAGTGTAAATTTTAAATAATTGAATTGCATTGCATTGTTTCGTCTGTGCAAACAATTTCTTCTCCTCATTCCACAGCCTGCTTGCGTATGCATGCGTCTCTCGGTCATCTCTTAGTTCTTAGCTTCACCTCTTCTCACCTCACCTGACCGCCTCCCAAACAAACAACATAGCAACGTATATGTGCATTGCATGCATCCCACCACCTACGTGGAGAATCACGGGGGGGCGAGTCGGAGGGATGTCCTACTTACTTGCAAATAAGCGGCACAATTTTTCTCGAATAATAATAAAATTGCGAATTTATACATTTTTACTCGTCTGCAACGGCACTTGCTTTCCATTCGGTCTTTGGCCGTCGCGAAGACGAAACATACATACATTCAATTACTACTACTACTGCTACCACCACAATCAATTATCATTATCCTCCTCCTGGTCTAACATTTATAAGTTTATAAACTGTGCACTGTTATTTCGGCTACGAACTTCAAAATTTTCAACGCGCGTCGCCGCATGGTTGATTAAACCGCACCAAAGTTCAACAGGTAAGTTTATTTAAAAAAAAAAGATGAATCTGATGCGCCTCGAATTTAAACAATCAAAGTAAGCTTTGACGTTTATTTCTCAATTGTCAACGAAATGATTAATCGTGATTTTTAACGAAATAGAAATAGAATTTTTAAAGTTTGATGACGGATCGAAAATCTTCGTTTTCTCTTCGGTCTCGAATCGAACGTCGTCTTTTGAAAGTTTTGAGTTTACACTTAACATCAACTAATTAAGTCTTAATTCGTACAGTATCTTTTAAATTATTACAATGTCGCGCAATGAAATTATCATGTATTAAAAACAACAAATAAAGTAAGAAAGTCTCGTGGTACAAGAATAGTTTGCGAATAGGAGGATTTTCCCACGAGAGAAAGAGATGCGTTGGTGGGAAAGATGGGGAACGACCGCGAAAGATGCAATTTAATCGAAACAGAAGAAGAAAAAGAAAACATTGCAAAGATTGCATTTATGAAAGTCGGTGAAAGTGTTCTCCCTCCGTCACCTTCATTCTGCAGATCCGCATACATACGGATACGCATTAATCGAATCAATCGATTTGCACTCTTTATTTATCATTTGTTTTCTTATTCAAATTATGTATGCAACTTTACATACGTAATTATATATTGGATTGTTGAATTATACATTTAAATAGCGTAATTCGCTGCAGTCTCACTTGTTTGTGCTGATATTTGAGTGCGCATTTTATGTTAAATGAAGATTATTATTGTTGTTGTTGTTCGTTGTAATTAGCACTTGTTTGCTTTTGCTTTGCAATTGTTAATTGATCCATCGGCGTCTCGATGTTGACGTATCGCGGACGAAAGAGAAAGAGGAGAAAACTTTCACGTGAGGCCGCGGTTTATCTTTATCTTTTCTTCTCGTTTGTCTCGTTCGGCGACCTCTCGTAGCGCCGCGTCGGAATGTAGCAAAAAAACGGATGTTTGAAATAAACAAAGGATTGTCGTCTTGTGTTAACTTACGACTGGACTCGTTTCAATTCGAAACAAAGGAATAATAATAGAGTGTTTTCTTAATGAATTGTTAAGTAATTCTTAAGTGTTTGAATATTCAAGTAATTGGTGAACGGAACGGATTTTTAAGTTTAATTAGGCGCAGCAAAGTCTTCATTGGGGGGAAAAAGGGAAAATGCGTTTCTCGCATTCCTCACTTGATCCGTGATTTATGCAACGAAATTTCCGCGTGAGTCGAGGAGAGAAAGTGCAGGAAAATCGCGTACGACGCAGAAGAAAAATGCAAGAGGAAAGACTGCATTATATATGTGGAGGGGGCGCGACACTTTCTTCTCGCGTTTTTTTATTAAATTTTACAACGATCATTATGATCTTGATGGTATTCTGTGGCCTTGGGTGGTGAAATTTAGCAAATTGCGAATTTCCTTTTCGTCCGTCCGCAATTTGTAGCGCGACGTCGGCGACTTTTCAACCGACCGACCGACCATCCGACCGACCCCCTTAACCTCCCCTCCCTAAACCCAGCTGCAATAGCTGCATATTCTAATTACACATGCCTCGTCGATTCCCGAAATGCTCCGGTCAGCAGGAAATTAGCAGTAAAAACCGAAAACGTTGTCGTTCTTTGTATTAACAAGGCATTTTAATGATGCTTTGATTGCCGTGACGCGTTTACTTCCCTTCCCTTCTTTTTTTTTAGTTTTTTTTTGATTCTTTGTTTGTTTGTTTGTTTGTGGGGGATAAGAAGAACATTACCAAAATTATATCCGCTGGAGGTGCTTACTTGTTTCAAGTCTGTATCGTCACAGTTACAGAGTGGCAGTGAATCGAGGAAGCAGCAGCAGCAGCAGCAGAAGTCGAATCACCGAGGAGGAAGAAGAAAAAGGGACAAGTGGCAAGAAGGACGACGTGAGGAGAAGACGAGATGACTTCGTTTCTGAACAACACCCAGCACATCGTCCAGGACATTTATGATTATTACCTCTGGACGCTCACATTCTCAGGTACGTTACGTCGCATTCCAACTGGAAATAATTACAAAATTGAATTGTTTTTGTAGACAACAGGACGAAGGGATGGCCTCTTGTGGATTCTCCGGGGCCTACGCTGCTCTACACCCTGCTCTACCTGTTCATAGTGTGGATGGGTCCGAAGTTGATGGCCAGGAGGACACCGTTTCGTATGACCTGGGTCCTCATCCCCTACAACCTCTACATGGCCGCCCTCAATTTCTACATAGCAATACAGCTTCTAACTGCTTCAACTAGATTAAGGTATAGTTACGTATGCGAGCCTTGCCGACAACGATATCATCCCGACGAATTGCAGGTGAGTTCAAGTTTAAACTCGTCAATTCGCAATCATTTCGATCATCAATGGTTTTCGTGCAGATTGCGAACGCGGTGTGGTGGTACTACTTCTCGAAGCTGCTCGAGTTCTGCGACACGTTCTTCTTTATCCTGCGGAAGAAGGAGCAGCAGTTGACGTTCCTGCACGTCTACCATCACTCGACGATGTTCTCGCTGTGGTGGATCGGGATCAAATGGGTGCCGAGCGGATCAAGTGAGCGCCAAATTTCTGAAAACATTAATTAATCTGTTAACTATTATTGTTATTGATATTGTTAACGTTTGATAGCTTTCCTTCCTGCCATGGTGAACTCGGCCATCCACGTGCTGATGTATTCGTATTACGGATTGTCAGCGCTCGGACCGAACGTGTCCAGATTCCTGTGGTGGAAGAAATACCTGACGATCCTGCAGCTGATCCAATTCACATGTGCCTTGCTGCTGGGCATCAACGGCCTCCGCACCGGGTGCGACTTTCCCCTCTGGATGCATTACACCCTCATCATCTACATGCTCTCCTTCATCGTCCTCTTCGGCAATTTCTACGTGAAGGCCTACATGGAGAAGGTAAACACATATCGATATTAATAATTAATACATACATTATTTGCATTATTTATTTCAGGGTAATAAGATATTCTACGGAAACACCGGAATCAGCTTCACCGGTTGCGGCCAGGGAACGATGATGCACAACGAGGACGCGCCGCAGTCGAGCACAAGCGCCCTCACCGCCAAGAAATACAACTGAAATGAAAATACCACTGCCAAAACGCGAAACTCCTCACCCACTCCACCTGATCAGTTTTGCCCTCTTCTCTCTTTTCTCCATTATTACTATTATTATTGTTGCTGTTGATGTTTTTCATTTCATTAATTGTTGTTATAAATCGTAATCGTTTGGTTTGCCTGCCCACCATCACCACCACCAACACCACCCTATCTACCCTTCCGTTTTCGTTCCGCGCCCATCTTAGTTGCTAGGTGATAATAATCAAACAAAACAAAACTAAAGTAAATATACAACTGTTACTTGTTATTTGTATATTTAGCGATATAAACAATAATTATTATTAGCTATTATATATATATATGTATATGTAAATATATATTATTTAGATGAATGAAGAGAGACGCAAAGAAGACGCGGGAAAGAAGAAGGATGACGCAAATTCAGGAGACACGGGGAAATTAATAATCAAATCACGATCTTCCTACTTGTAATAATAATAATAACAATTATAACAATATTAAACAAATTGAGTAATTAATTGAACGATATTAATTAAATGAATAAAATAATATTGATAATGTTTTTGCGTTCGTTTCTTTGATGTTAAATGTATCTAAAATAAAGTTATCTGATTCTCTCATCAAACATATTTGAATGAACGATGATTACATGGTGGATGCGCCGGGTTGGTTTGATTTTGTTGCTGATGATGGTGTAAGAATGATCATCTGGTTTCACCAGTGGCGTGTGAGGAGGGAACTCGCGCGGTGCATTTGCACTATTGATCAAACACGAAGGGAGCGTCGCTTGAGGGCGCCACTAGGAAAACCACGTCCCGACGCCCGTCACGACGCTGCCTCTCGCCAGCAAACACACACAGTAGACCTGTTGTCGTCCTTACATAAACATCGCTGCATGGCCTAAACCCAAACACACACTCACACACACCCACGCACGCATAACGACAAGACAAGATCACACTTTTTCCCATAAAATCAAAAAGCCGGTGAAGAGAGAGAGTGTTCAATTCGTAGCAGTACGAACGGACGGACGGACGGACGAATATCGCAGTAACGAACAAACAGGTAAGAGGAAATCTCAAAAATATAGTTGCAGATGGCGATGGACGAGATCTTATCCTCCTGCCGCAAGCGACGGCAAAACAAAGCACACGCATGGTTACAAGAAAAACCATGGAAACGTAAATAAGATCTATTTATCAATTTAACACCACCACTATTATTATCAATTCAATTCAAATCAGTTGAACAAAAAAAAAAAGGAAAGAAGAATGAAACGTAAATATTAATTGTGCGTACATGTAATAATGTCATGACCTGCTGCGAAAATGTCAGCTGTTGGTATTTCACAGCACGCCGCAACATCTGAAACAATCGAATCTCTCTATCTATTTCTATATCTATCTCTATATCGTACAACGCGACAGCAGTGTGACATATGCCCGGTGTTTTGGTGTCAGAGAAACGTGGTCAGGGTTTGCCGTGAAATACGAAAATAACTTTTGTTTTGTTCTTAATTATTTTTTTGTGTTATTATTGGTAATGGCGCACAGTACAGATAGTCTTATTATCTGTTCTGTGCATCGCAACAAGAAGAGAACGACGTCACGCACCGGCGGCTCATTAAAAACTTATAGAATCGATAGATAAGTTCTTCGGCCCTCATCATCCTTCAGCAAATCATGAATATTGAATGCACCTTTGTTGGATCGTTGTCGTTATTGCGAAAAGTTACGCGAACGTCAAACATTAATACTCTCATTTGCCAAGTAATCTCTGCAAGTACTTGCATTAAAACAAGCCACAGTTTAAACAAAAAAACGCTTTAATTTGCGGCACCTTTGATGTGCTGCGCTCTCAACGCGCATACATAAAAGATGCCCTCCATAGATTTTTTTTTAAATTTATCTATTCACACGTTTTTCGCTTACGTTTCCGCGCGTTTTCAGCCACGCTCAAGTACGAACGAGCTGGTTGGTTTTTTTGGTGTTCGAGAGAGTATGCAAATGAAAAAACAATGCGGACGGTGTGAAGGGTTTTCAGTTATAAGAGCGGCTTTTGCGTTCGGAGCGCGCGAAATGTTCACCCACCCGACCGAATGGGTACTTAAAGTATTACGACTCGATCCATTGTTGTGCATTGCCCGTCTTGTCCATTGTCCGGGTATTTACGAACAGTCCAGTCCAGTCCGGCTCGCTACTGCTGCTGCTGCTGCTAAATCCGAATAGCGCGCGCGAACAGTGAAGAGGAGGAGATAAATTATCAATTCAAAACAATTCGCGGCTTACGTTATTTCAGAAGAAAAAAAGAAAAAAAAGTCTTTCCCTTTTGCGAATAAGCGGTAGAAGTGGAAATATGTACTGTTGTGTCCAACCATTATTATTATAATTGTTATTGTTAATATCGTGTATTAACGAACTAGAGACATCCACGGCGTCTCTTAGTCGCATTATTATATAAACATTAGCATAGAGGAATCTTTATCGTGATTCCAGTTCGATACACTTTAATATAAACAAAGGGGACTAAGCGTAAACATTCCCATCGATACTCCTATACCCTTATACCGAATTCAAGTCCTTATTATAAACACATAAAGATCGTTACATGTACAATCGTAATCGATCATCTTTTTCATATAAACAAATGCATAGATCTTATAATAAACAAAACCACCAAGGCCGATTCCCGTGGGAACGCGTGGGATCATTAATATATACAAACCCTACTCCCGATCACAACTCCCACCCCGTATTAATAAGAATTAACTTTGTAAGTAGAATAAGTATTTAGAATCAGTCTCAGTAAAACCTTAATATGATGAGCATAGTCTCAGATAAATCTTAAATCGATCAAGTAACGACAATACCAGAAAATATTCTACTATGTGCAGAATTCCATCCTTGTCGGGGACACGACAGTACAGGTATAAATCCCCTTTTACCGCACTCTGATCCCGTAAATCGAGCGCACCGCTTTTGTGGAAACGAACGAATTTATTAAGGTCTGAAATACGCCGCACGCTACTACTACTTTTCCTCCATTTACTTCTCCCCTGAATCCAATTTCGTGTTGGCAACGCTTTTTTGCATAATATTTAATAACGAAAATTCATTGTGTTGGTACGCCTGCCGATTTACCGCTCACCCGCATGACAATTTCGATAATTTTAATTAGAAAATTTTAATATGCGAAATTTGTTTTCTTACGACTATCCAATATCCCCTTTAAAACAATCGATTGCGCGCCCAAAATGCGCAAAACGTCATCAACGTTCGCCCGAACACGAGGAGGAAACGATGATGTTGACACGCACTTCCAATCGCCCGACAGGAATTTGCAATGTCCCCAACCGAAAACCAATTACGTCCACGGACCGATTGATATTAATTATTTTCTACGATGAGAAAATTGCGATTTGTAGGGGGGGTGAGGGAGTATGAATGTATGAATGAATGAATGGCAAAAGCTATTAACCGGTTGGAAAAGCAATTAAACGGCAAACATTCGGACGAACATTTCCGGGCAGCAGCAGATTAACAATTTGCGCGGGAACATCAATTTCCGGATGAAAACAAACACAAAAAAAAAACAAACAAGATATGGCGTTCAGCGGACCGGAAATTTCCGCCCGAACGCCTCTCCTCTACCATCCCTATCACCAATCGCTCACATCATCTATTTAGTATTCAACCAAAGCTAATGACGCGGAAAAGATGAGCCGTCGGTGGTAAACGGAGCAATTTATCATTACGTAATTATAACGAAACGAAAATAACGGATAAATTAAAAATAACTTACGCAATAATAACTATTAACTTCTGACAGCAACAATTACAATCGAGCACATTGTGCCAACTGAAAACTTTTCAATCCAACAATTACTAATTACATTCTACCAACTGTAGTAAATCAAAAATACTGTTCGCAATTAGATAAATACTGTGCAGAGAGAAGATGAAGCGAAATCAATTTGATGAGTGAATTCAAATTATGAACCAGTAATCCCATAATCTAATCAATTGATTAGACCAATTTACCAGTTGATATGGAAACTTTGGATTGAATTTGACAAGAACACAAACAGTTTGACATTAGATCTAATCAAAATTTATTGTGAATAAATTCCATCAAACCATTTCCTTAAAAAAACGATGACAAAATTCTAGTGTTGAAAACAAAGGTACGTTGATAATAGATAGATAATAAATAGAAAAAAAAAGAAGGAAGATTTCCCCTTTCATCTTCTTCTCTGGGTGGGTTGCCTCCTGTGAGGATTGAACTCACGACCCCTGGTTTACAAGACCAGTGCTCTGCCACTGAGCTAAAGAGGCTACATGATGCCGCCGCCGGCGGTGGCGCATTCCCAACACTCGACCCGCTGACCTTATTTTTCAATTACTTCCGTTTCTCTCCATATTAATACTTTTGTTTTTCCTCTCGACGAACAGGAGAGACGTCGACAATGGCCGCCGAGGACAATGGCAACGTGGGCTTATTGAAGCCGACGTCCAGCAGCAACGAGGATCTGAGCGAGTACACGGACGCAGATGAAAGCATTTCAGCGCCAACCGAGTTTCTTGCCGAGGTATTTACGCTCAACTTATTTTATTATCATCCGAAACAAAACATTTACGAAATAAACTAAGTATCCATAGAAACAGGAGATATACAGAAGACGCTTTGCTAATCGATCAATTAAATCTACGTATCCATAGCAACAATTCATAATGAATTATATTTTTCAACATTCTCAAATGATATACATTTTGCTACCATGGTAATTAAATATAATCATGATGGTATCGTATCTCTCTTTAGTCGCCTCTTACGACAAGCGAGAGTCACTTTGGTCGTATTCGTCAGCCCCGAACCAAAGGGCAACACAATTAATAAATTATTATTTTGTAATTTTCCACGTTAAACAATATATTTTGCTGCCTCCTGTGAGGATTGAACTCACGACCCCTGGTTTACAAGACCAGTGCTCTGCCACTGAGCTAAAGAGGCGTTGCTTAACGACCGCCCATTTTTTGCACATACCGATGGCGCGATGCATTTTACAATCGACATTATTCATAAATAACACTTAATGAGAAAAATTTAATTATATTTTGCAAAAAAAAAAGAAATTGCATGTAATACTTATGCAACTTCGTTGACACGGTGTGATGGGCGTGTGCTTTCGGGACACCGACCACTATTCGTGAATCCGATGGGCGGGATCCAACGTACCGTGTCGAACGCTGCGAATGGTCGTCGCCTGGAGACGAACACGCGGCCATTTTTTTTTCAACCGCCTCTTTAGCTCAGTGGCAGAGCACTGGTCTTGTAAACCAGGGGTCGTGAGTTCAATCCTCACAGGAGGCAAACAACCAAATACATTTTTTTACACGAATTTCATTTAACAGATTAATTAAACTGCACTGAAACATGTTTAAAAGCAATTAAATAAATTTTGTAATTCGTCAATAGTTGGATTTGTGTGTGCAAAACGAATTGCCTCCTGTGAGGTTTGAACTCACGACCCCTGGTTTACGAGACCAGTGCTCTACCACTGAGCTAAAGAGGCCTCATGTAAACCAAACTTTTCGCACCACCATTCCAATGGAGCGGCCCTTCCAGCAGTAACGGATTTATTTAATGAAACAACTAATTAGAAAAAATAATTCTATTGTGCAGTTCCTGTCCGCCGTCATGCTGAAAGACTACGAGACCGCTCTAAAATACTGCAAACTAAGTGAGTAATGGTAACTATGGTGATGAATGCAATTTCTTCCGTTGTTTTACGTAGCGTAAGCGTAATTCGGCGGAAGAAATGATCGTGATTGTAACGTAACATAACGTAACGTAAATGGGGCAATAATAATGTGCAATGCGGAAAAGTGTAACGTGCAGCGGTGGCGTCCGTTTTTGCATATTCGCATGCAATTCCCTCTGGCACACATTCCGTGTCGCGTGCATCGCGCGCGTCCGCCCCCCTTGATTGCGCCCCCAACGAAATAAGTAAGCCTCCTAATATTGAAATGCACGTGCAAAAAACTTATTTGGAGCAAAGCAATTTGTGCTCGTTTATTTGTGTTATAGTTTGCTTTTTCTTTTTGTTCCCTCTCGCAAAGTTCTGCAATACGAACCGAACAACGTCACGGCAAAAGAATTCTACCCGCTGATTTTGGAGAAACTGCAGATGAGTAAGTTTTGTTCAAACATTTGATTTAAATATATTGTAATTGTATTATTTTTGTGTACACAGTGAATGACGAGGAGGATGCGAACAACGAGAGCGACGAAGATGAGAACGATGTGAGCAGCAGCTCAGGCAGTAACAGCAACAGCAGCACCACCAATTCCGACTCAGATGCAAGCTCTTCAGATGACAGTAGCGAGGATCAAGAGGTAAGAGGTCTTTACAGCATTCATTTGTTTGCAACTCGGTGGTTACGAGTGCAGTAATAATGGTCGTTTTTTCGAGTGCCATTCATCTCTATGCTCATTAGCAAGCGCGCGCGCGTATTTTGCGGCGTTCTTGGCGTCTTTCATTGTATTTTAAATTGGGTCGGACGCGGAATGAATTGACGTTGAACGTTGTTTTTCCATCTATTCTTTGTTGCCGCAGGAGGAGGACGAAGAGGGAGAGGAGGAGGACGAGGAGGGGATCGAGGGAGCGCATGGTGGCGGAGGAGGCGGCCAAGGAGGAACCGACAAAAGGTCAAAGGGATCGTCGGACGGCGGCGACGCCACCACCGGCAGCTACTCGAGTCTCGAGGACGACGAGGCGGAAGTCGATCAGTTGGCAGCGCTGGCCGCCAAATATCAGATGGACAACATGGATATTGGCAACGGAAACAATCTGTGTCAGTTGGCAGCGAACGCGTCAATCTTGCGAACAGTTCGAAATTAATTCGTATTTTGTTTTTCTTGCTTGCCTTTCAGATTCCGGCGAGATTAAGACGACGACGATGATCGGCGTATGCAAAAAGATGATCACGACGAACGCCCTCTGCAGCGAATCGCCTCCGCCGCTCCTTCCGTTCGGCACCAGCTCAGACTCAGAGTCGCCCACGGAGCCGGTCAGCCAACAAACGATCGCGATGCTCCGCGCCAAAGTCGTGCCAACCAAAATGTAAAAAAACAAACAAACAAACAAAAAAAAAGTTACTAAGCAACCAAAAACAAAGTAAACATAACAAAAACAAAACAAAAAGAGAATGCCACAAAAGTAGAGAGGGTGGGAGAAATGGGAGGTGTGGTAAACAAGTATTAGTTACGTCCAATATTTCTTATTTTAGGGGTGATTTTCGTATACCGTTTATATAATATACATACATACATATATATATTTAAACAAACAAACAAAAAAAATAATTAATATATATAGTTTTCAGACAAAAATATTAATAATAATATCTCGGTGTTTAGAAAAGGGTAACTTCGTTAAATTCGAAAAGAAAAACAAATGGTGTCTAAATGTTGTTCTAGTTTGAAATTAACAAAAGATAATACTAGACGAGAGTGGGGAAAAAAGTAGTGAGAAGTAAATTAAATTTAAAAAAAAATGACTAAGAGAAAACTATATACATATATATGAAGAGAAGAAATTATAACAATAGAAGAAAACATGATGATAATGATGATGGTGATATATTTTTGTATTTTTTGTAAGTAGCGACGTGAATAGTTGTTTGAGAATGACCAAAGTTAAATAGAGGAGGGGAGATGTGTGCGAACAGACCAGAGCAGAGAAACGAAGGCTATTGGTAAACTAATAGGAAATTGGGATTGGGATTTATAACAATAGTTATTATTAGTTACGTTATTATTTCTGTTTCGTCGAAAGATTAGAACAAAAGAGAGAGATACAAACAAGTAACTTTTATATATATTAAAAACAAAAAGTGTATGTGTATATAGAAAATGTTTAGCAATATATAGTAGATAACGAGTCTATTTTTTAACAGAAAAAAAAGAAAGCCATCATCAAAAGATATATTATATTGAGAAGTAAAGCAAATGATATTTAGGCTAAATGACGTAGTTAATCCTAATAATTAATTAAACAATGTAAACTCTGGATATGTGTAACTTGATTAAAAATGTAAATTTTTGTTTTCTCGAAACGAGAAGAAGAAGAAAAACGATAGCTGAGATTTAACTCGTAAAGACTGAATGTATTAAAAATGTCGAGCAACAAAAATAATGGGAATAAATAGCAAGTAGAAAGAAATCTGAAGCCAAAAGCGATTTGCCAAGTTTTCGAGTTCAAATTAAACAATAACAAAGAATTGCAATGTCGAGGCCTTCGGATTTACTAATACTACTGAAGATTATATATAAATATATATAGAAAGAATTGTGTGCGTGTGTATGTAAAAGAAATATTTAGTTTAGTAAAAAAATAAAATAAAATGCATATCATTTCAACAACAACAACAAAAACATTGTTTCTGACCCAATCAAATTGATACCAGTTTCGGATTGGTCGTCATAGTTTAAAATAAAAAACGAACAAATACTTGCGTCGTTGCGCATTGGATGGCGGCGGGCGACTGGAAAAGGATGGCGACCGATTGGATCGCGTCGCTGTATGGGGGATGCGGCGTAGAGTGGGAAGGCGTGGCGTACGTGGCGGCGATGTCCAATGGCAGCGGCGGCGACCAAATATATTAAAAAAAAACACGTCGAACTTGAAAGCTTTTTTCAAATATATTTGATCGTCGACGAACCCGACAACAACGCACAAACAAAACAACAACAAACAAACAAAAAAAAAAACAAATTGAGACGGGGCCGCCTGCTGCTAAAACAACAACATTAACAACAAACTAGAAACAAAACATACATTATAATAAATATATATATATCTAAAATAAATAAATTCATCAGGTTATTATTAATAATAATAATTGGAAGTGAAGATGATGTTAACAAATCTTCTTCATCAACAATATTTTGTTTTATTTATTTCTTTCTTTTTATTATTATTATTTTAAACAATCTATACTTTGTTTTATTGGTTACTCTTTTCCCTCTCTCTCTCTCTCATCCCAATCCTAGTGTCCTGTTGTCGGTCCCCCCCTCCTGCAGTCGTCTCAATCAAACAAAGATTAAACAATTGATTGACGAACAACAAGAGAATCGCATTACCGGTTCCCATAATCAACATAAAACAATTGTGCAACGACGCAACAACAAAATAAATATTGATATGTCAATTAATATTTCTTTTTTTTTTCAAAACAACAAAATTTAGATAAATTGAACAAAAAAAAAACGTACAATTAACAAATAGATAAATGTTAGAAAAACAATCAGAGAACATACCTTAATTCGATATAACAGAGGATTAATTAAAAATACAATAATTGTAATCGTAATAATAATAATAATAGTGTGAAGCTTCGTAAATTTTCTTTTTTTTTCCATATATAAGCTTATATTAAATATATATATATAAAAAAAATTCATAATAATAATAATAATATATAAAGACGTTTCATAAAATAGGTAATAATACAAAGAGAAATTCGTTTACGTTTGTTATTGTTCTTAGGTTATTATCGTTAATGGAAGAGAAGAAAAAAAAAGAAGAAGTTAAATAGATTTAAACAAAAATAACAGAACACAAATAATAATAATAATAACGCTAATGAGAGAACACAAATCCCTACTTAAATTAAATAAACAAAATATAAGAATTATAACAACAATCAGAGGTAGTTCGGGTAGGATAAAAGTTAAAACTAAAACCTAACAAAAAATAATCATAATAATAACTCATTAATTATACGTTAATATTACGTGTGTTTTTTTTTTGTTGTTCTTGTATAAACTTATAATTAAATAAAAGTGGAACAATTCAAAAATTAAACAAAAAAAAAAACAAAACGCGGAAGAGGAAGGCAACTTATAAACTAAAAAAAAAAAACAAGATATTGGCAAGGTCCATTCCGGAAACCGAACAATCAATCAATCAATCAAAACTACACATCGTCCCCATTTCCACCCTCATGCAAAACTCAGTCTTCGCGATTCCCCTTTTGTTATGATTGCCATGGTCACCACACTACCATGGCATACATTTGTGCATATGGTTGCTATTGGATTCGTAACAATAACATATCAACGAAATAAAAACAAAAAACACTTATTGCTTTCCCTCCGACAATCAAATTCATTCCGGTTCGTCCGCGAAATATATATATTAACAAGAGATTTTACAAAAATATATGTACACGCACCGAAAAAAACCTGTCGCTTATTTGTACAATAATCAATATATATATAGAGCCAATATAGAATCTGCCATCTTTAATTCTCTTTTCTTTTTTTCTTTTGTTAATTTGCAATATTAAAAATATATTTATTCATATTCTCACCGATCTCCACTCGCTATTTTCTCCTAACCATTTGTTTATTTTTTTTAAATAATTCTTTCACTACTCAAATATATGTACATTGCGCACTTTCCTCTCCCAAATATTAAAAGTAAATGAAATCATTAATTTTAAAGCTATTCTCTTTCTCTCTCTCTCTATCTCTCTGCAACTAATCTTTTCTCCTCATTTTGTTTGCACTCTTGTTGAAAATCATCGCGGTTAGTAGTTATTAGTTTGCTATTACTATTGCATTAAAAATTACATTAATTCAAACAAACAAAAAAAAACACTAAATAATCAAATATAAAACAACAACAATAGAGAAAATATGGCACTGTTAAAAGGAGACAAAGTTTTTAAACAAAACGAGAAAAAAAAACTAAATATATATATATATATATGCTGTGGTTTGGCAGAAGAACCAACGCATTCTGAGATTTGATTTCCTACATAAATATTACTATGAACGAAGAGATGAACTCTTCGAAACAAACGAAAAAGGTGAAATGTATTCAATATGTATATGTTTATACATAAGCGCACATCATCTACAGGAGACACTACTGAATTGGCACTCGCGTCATGATCATCGCGTCGATGTGACGTTTTTACTGTGGTAATTTCAACAAAAACAAAAATCTATAACGGAATTGGTGTAAATATGCATACATAAATAGATCATATTTATAATTACACGCATTTACTTCTTTGTTTCACGCCTTCTTCGCCGTGTATAGTGCGTAACTTTCTTTTGTTTTGAGATAGCGCAAATCATAACTTCTTCATTCTTAACAAAACAAAAACCCTCCCCTCCCCTCGCCCCAGGTGCTATACTTATTACTTTTTGGTTATCGAGTTGATTATTTCAGGAATATTTGTACTTTGCATTCATCCGATCCGATCTGTTAACTATACGATAAATACTATTATCTTCAGTGTGAATAAATATATCTCTTTTTGGAGGATCGGATGAAGGGTTTGTTTGAACGATCGAATAATGCCCGAAACACGTCCGTCTGCATTTTCAGGACATCGCCCACAACAACACAATACACGATATTGTACGATGAAGAACAATTTAAAAGAAGTTGCCAAGTCTACATACCGGATGATATTCGGCCCTAAGTTTCTTGCATTCTTCGATTCCGTTTTCTACCATCGATCGCAATAATGCGCAATACAGTAATGTGATATACTTATGATGTCTTTGCTGCTTTTAAGATGAATCTTAAGATGTCTATTGGTTGTATGGTGGTCGGCATTTATCTATTCCCATACGGGCGGGCAAGTGTGGTAAGACACGACACGCAATTGCTGCGAGAGCGTCAGGTACGTTAGCTATGCAGGTACGATGTGTAGAAGATGAAGAATTTGCTAACCTTTGTCTTCTTCAATCACTGCAACCAAATCGAAAACGTTTTCTCTTACATACACGTATTCTGTTCGCTGCTAGGTATTTTCGATTCGTTACCTGCAGCCTACATGCTGTTCTCCTTGGTCGGACTCCGAAGCGCTTCGTTCTCTATGCGCATCGTCAGCGAGGAAGGCCGATACCGACTTTGGTGAAGTACCCTTTCCATCACGCACGATGCAGACAGACGAGCCTCCGCGTCGTGATCCCAGCATTCCTCCATGGTCTCGCACAATGCCGACAGAGCCTGCAAGACACCATCAAAACGTAAATAGCAATTAGAACTCCACTGTCGCATATTCAAATTACCGGATTGTTCCTCCAGGACTCGGGTATCGTCGGTCTGACTTTCCTCTGGACGACCGCTTCTTGCATGTCTTCCAAGGTAGGATGCTGACCGACCTCTTCTTCGAACGGTAACCGATACTCGGGAACAGGACCGTCCTGCTCTGTGCACCGAGAGACCAGCTCCCATAGAACCAAACCGCAGGCGTACATGTCGATGCGCAAGAATGCATCAGGTGTAAAATTGATGGCGCCTTCCAATACTTCCGGGCCCATGTATCTGTAATTAATTAAATCATTCTCATCATCATAATAAAGTTGAAGTAGAAAACGTTGATTCACCTTCTGGTGCCGACTTGACCGTGTGTATCGCCGCACGACTTTCCCGACTCAAAGACAAGCGCCAAACCGAAATCCGCGATGCACGCCGTCATATTGCTCTTCAGCAGCACGTTCTTACTCTTGAAGTCTCTGTGAGCGACCGCCGGTTTCGTCGGCATGCCCAGCCTCCCGGGAATCTCCTCGTGTAAATGCATCAAACCTATAATACATATTGATTAATGTAAATGTCTGAAGTACTTTAATATTTTCATCACTGCATTGCATTACCTCTGGCCATGGTTTCAACGACTTTACACAGGTCCGTCCATGAGAGGGTGTTCGCCTTGAGGAAGTCGCAAAGAGAACCGATTTCGTGGTATGCTGTGATGAGCCAAAACTCCGTCTTCAGATTATCGTTGTGCTTCTCGACGCCGATGAAGTGGAGGATGTTGGCGTGTTCCATGTTGGGCAGCTTGAAGATCTCCTGCTCCTGGAGCCAGGATTGTTTGTCCTGCACCGGGAACACCTTTACCGCGACCTCCTCGCTCTTGAATTTCGCCTTCCACACTGCCCCGAAGCGACCGCGCGCCTTTACCTCCACCAGCTGGATGGATCGCTTCCCGAGGAGCGGAGACGGCGAGGGCAGAGGATTCGGCTCGATCGTCGGCAGCTGCAACGTCCGCGTACAACAAACAACAGCGTTAAACAACAACGGTAACGGTCACAAAGAACAAACTTACGCCCCACTGGAGCAGCACAAAAGAGAGGAAGAAAAAAAAAGCACGTTTCGAGATTAACAAGAAAACAACGAACGACATTCGCAAAAGAAAACACACTCACCTCATTGAATAGACTCTTTTTACCGTACACGAAGAAGTACCAAATACCGAAGGCGCTAATCAAGAATACTATCACGAAGATCAACACTTGAATGAGAACCAACCAGTTCGAGTTTTTCACCAATTCAGGCTCTGCAAGAAGAAAAAACCAATGTAACATATACATATACGCATCTCGCTTTTAATGTATTATACCTTGATGCTTTGGTTTGATCACTCGGGGCTTCGGCTCCCAGAAGAAGTCCTTGTTGCACATACTGCCAGCGCAGCAGCAGTACAGGAATTCCTTGTTGGGCTCCTCCGACGACTCCACGCATCTGGTCTCGTTGCAATCCTTGTTGGCGAAGCAACCTTTCAACTCCACGGAGACGTTACCCTCCGTCTGCTTCCACACAACAAAACAATGCGTTTTACCTTCCAAGGTCGAACACTCCTCCGTCCTCTCATTGCAACCATCCTCCTGACCGTTCATCCGAGACTCGTTGCACAGACTCCGATTGAAGTACTCGCAGTAAGCCTTTTGTCGCACGTGAGATTGGCTAATCATTGCAGATGCTGCATTACTTGAACAGCAATCTAGAAACAATAATAATAATAGTTATAACATTTAAGATAATAAATTTCGAAAAATACAAAACTATTTAATGTATGCAACCAAAATTACCTACATAACAAATTACAATTTTGTGTTTCTATTAGCTGTTACATCAACTATAACATAATAATGCAAGTGCCGACAGAAACTTTAACAATATAATTTATATTTTCATTAGATATTAGTTGATCAAGACTCTCGAGGCAATTACATTATATTGTGCAGTGAGCAAACAATAATTATTAAATGTTTTCATTGAGTAATAGAGTGAAGTTGATTCATACCATTTTGTATGAGCAAGTAGAAGATTATCATGGAGAGGAACTCGAAAAACCTCCTTGTGGAAAACATCTTCTCGCTGGTGCTGCTGCAGAGGCTCTTCTTGTTGTTGTTGTTAATGTAACTATGGGAATGAGGAACAATTGAAATGAAATCGCACAGATGGAAGGCGGCGTAAACACGGATTGGCTTACCTTAGGTCAAGATCCAGACACACCAACAAAACAAGGGAGCGAGATTGAGACGCGCACAAAGAGAAAGAACAAGGATCACTGGATGCAAATGTTTATCGTTACGAATTGGGAGGAGCACATCTTGAACAGGATTTTAATAGTTATTCGATTAACTAAATATCCTCGTTCTATTTAAAAAGCGCACACACGTAAAAGTCCTTTTTCATTTTATCACCCCTCACTGCTGCTGCAACGGATCGCACGTAAATAACACCACACTGCACTTGAGGTGATGCCAACTCGACAGACGAAAAATCACTGCTCTGTGACTTTTCCTTTCCCTTCACCAATATATTTATTTATATATATATATGTCAACTACGCAGACGTCTGGAATCCCTGAAATAGAAACAAATAAATTGAATTAAATAACTATAACTACACAACACAACACAATATGCTTCAATCAACATTCAAATTGCAATTTTTCAAGATCATCTCACCTGGTTGAAAACAAATTCGATTACACTATCGATGATCTATTATCAATTCGAACGTTCACTCGCAACAATTATCTAATTTCACGCACACAAAGTATCTGCTGCAGATGAACTCTTTTCTTGTCCGCACAAAGCAACGACGTTGTTGTTATTGTTATTGTTGCTTGTTGCTTCACGAAAGAGGAGACTCACGAGAGGCAGGTGTAAACCAAACAAACATAATTCTAACAATATGGCGGCGGCGGCCGTCGTCTTCATTCATTTGTTTCAAGTTGACATTGACGTCACGGGAAAACTAATAGTAAATATTTGATTGCATTCCTCCGTTCTTTCTCTCTCTCTCTCTCTCTCGCGCTCTCGCTCCCTTCCACCACTATCTCTTCTTCTACTACTTCTTCTCCTTTTACCTTCGTTTCGATTGTTAATTGCATTCGCGATACGCAATCATCCCCCGAAAATGGGTGACTTTGATTGACTTTCACACTGCAAATGTAAATATATATATATTAACAAAACAAGAAAAAAGAACGAAGGAATTTATGTAATGAACGTTCGACCGGTGGCCTAACTCGATAATTTTAAATTTACCAAGATTGTTAATTTGTATATGCTTAAACAGTCAATGATTGCGTTTTTTTTTAGGAATTGATCCTTCTAAAATGTTATTTGTATATAATAAATGTAGTAGGTAAAGGAGAAGAACAGCGGCCGACTGTTTTCGTACCGCTGACCCTAAAGTGACAGTGACAGATGGGGGTCGCGGCGAGCGCTTGTTTTGTATAAAGGTGTATTGTTGAATTTTATAATCTGTCAGACAGTTTGCGGTGCGTAAGGAAAGTAAATTGTGAAATATCAAGTTCGCTACAGTTTGCAAGATTCGAATTAACTCGAAAAGTCGAAAAGGAGCATCTTCGAGTGCGTGTGTTGTGTGTGTGTGGTGTGAATTGATTCGATCCTAACCTCCTGCTCGTCGAGCAAAGAAAAGGCATCAAAATTTGCGACTCAGATGCAAATGAGAACGAGAAGATGTGGGACTCGGCTATGTTCTTGAGCACTCTCACGCCCAAGTTCTATGTGGCACTCACCGGCACTTCGTCTCTCATCTCTGGGCTCATCCTGATCTTCGAATGGTGGTACTTTCGCAAGTATGGAACATCCTTCATCGAGCAGGTCTCACTCAATCACATCAGTCCATGGATCAGTGGAGTTGATAGCAACGAGAGCGGTGGTAATGGTAGCAGCAATGGTAGTGGAGGTTCAGGAGGCAGCAGCGGTGGAGGAGGAGCAGGAGGTGGTGGAAGTGGAGGCAGCAGTGGAGGATCAGCTGGGACGAACGGAGGTGGGCAGCAAAGCAACGTGCCCGAATGTAAGGTTTGGAGGAATCCGTTGAACCTGTACAGAGGAGCAGAATATCAGAGATTCTATTGGGCGACGAACAAGGAGCCGCTCACCTATTACGATATGAATCTGTCGGCGCAAGATCACCAGACGTTCTTCACCTGCGAAACGGATGCGGGTAAAGCAGAGTACGAGATAATGCAGACGGCTTGGAGGGAGAGGAATCCGGTGGTGAGGATAAAGGCGGCTCATAGCGCTCTGGAGAGGAACCCCGAGTGCGCTCCTGCCTACATCCTGCTAGCCGAGGAGGAGGCGACGACGATCACCGAGGCCGAGAAGATACTGAAACAAGCGATCAAGGTGGCCGAAGTGAATTACAGGAAATCGCAGGGCACTCAGCATCATGGACCGCTGATGGAGGCGCAGCATAGGCGAGACGTGAACGTGCTGATCTACATCAAGAGGAGGTTGGCGATGTGCGCGCGTAAACTGGGCAAACTGAAGGAGGCCGTCAAGATATTCAGGGATCTGACGAAGGAGGTGCCGCCCATAATGAACGTGCTGAACATACACGAGAATCTGATCGAGGTGCTGCTCGAGATGCAGGCGTACGGCGACGTTCAAGCGGTACTTGCCAAGTACGACGACATCTCTCTGCCCAAGTCGGCGACGATCTGCTACACGGCTGCGCTCCTGAAGGCGCGACTCGTCGCCGACAAGTTCTCACCGGACATCGCGAGCAAAAGGGGTCTCAACGCAGCCGAGGTGACGGCCGTCGAGGCCATCCACAGAGCGGTCGAATTCAATCCGCACGTACCCAAATATCTGCTCGAGATGAAACCGCTCATCCTCCCACCTGAGCACGTTCTGAAGCGAGGCGACTCTGAGGCCATCGCCTACGCCTTCTTCCACCTGCAGCACTGGAAGAACATGGAGGGTGCGTTGAATCTGCTGCACTGCACCTGGGAGGGCACCTTCCGCATGCTTCCGTATCCGTTGGAGAGAGGTCACCTCTTCTATCCGTATCCGACGTGCACCGAGTGCGCAGATCGTGAGCTGCTGCCCGCTTTCCACGAGGTCTCCGTCTATCCGAAGAAGGAACTTCCTTTCTTCATCATCTTCACCGCCGGTCTCTGCTCTTTCACCGCTCTACTTGCCCTCCTCACCCATCAGTATCCTGAACCTATGGGATACATCGCCAAGTCTCTCATCAATTGGCTCTCTCTTCCACTCTACTACGTCTACGAGAAGATCGAGAGTTTCGTTCCACCCAATCTCTTGCAGCAGCTCTCTCGCATCTAAACAAACAAACAAACACACTTTTATCGTATTATCATTATTACTACTAATTACTTACTACTTCTCTATTACAATTATCATCATTATCATTATTTAAACTGTATTTAACGACCGGTTCTCGTCTCAAACAAATCAAAATAGTTGATTGCAGCATTTGCAAATATTTGTATTCGAGAGTTACAACAAAAATCTCTTAATTTATTATATTAATATATAAATGAATGTATAAAATATTCGGTGTTCTCTCATTAAATTTCATGTTCAAAACATAAATAAATTATTAATGAAGATGGCACTGCAAGCGTTTCACTCTACCTCCTCCTCCTCCATTCGCACAACAACAGTTACCATGGTGATTGTTGTAAGATTGCAATTGATCTACAACATACATATCATCAGTTGCGTGGCAACCATTTCAAACATATATAATGACTTACCCTGATTCGTCTACATATAAATATTATTTGTCATTAGGGAATTTTGTTTGTTTAAATAGTTAATAGAATAGAAGAATATGGATAGGTTGGATATGATGGGCGTGGTTGTAGTAACAAAGGGTTTAAACTTCGGTAGAGTAAAAATTTATTACACATCTCTTCTTCGCGAAACCACACTAAAATTAGCTTCCATTAAATAAACTTCATGATATATACACAAATCTTATAATAATAATAATAATAAATTTATATCTATTTCTATATATATATATTATTTATAGTTCAATGGATAATATAATAGGACAAACAAAAATCTCACTGTGAGATATGGGGGGGTGGGGCGGTTGGACATGGGAGAGAGAGTTGTCGTTTGTTTCAAAATACAAATCAATTGTTGTTGTTGTTTTGTTTGTTGCCGAAAACAGCCTACGCGCGATTACAAATAAAACATCTCTAATTCAGTCAGTCTTTTCGCCAATTTCTTCTTTTTTTTTTCTTTTTCATCTTCCCTAGATACGCGTGTAGTGTACATATACTATATTCATATATAAAATACAATCAATAAAGAAAAGAAACAAGGAAAATAAATCTATGTAATTTATATACAAAAAAAAAATAATAATAATTAAATATTAACTAGCTTCGTTAAATATTTGTCTATATTATACATATATATATATTTGTATATTGTAGAGAGAAGAGTAATAAATCCTAAATAGAACAAAAGAATCAATCAACTAGAATTTTTCCCTAAAATTTCATTTTAATTATTATTATTATTTATATACTTTTCTTTCTCTCCTATATTTTTAATTTCTTTTTATGGATGGACGTCGTTCCTTACATATGTATTTATATATATATATATTTTTAACTTTTTCTTAATAATATAATTTTAGTTAATTTTCTTCGTTTCCAATTTTTTTTTCTTGCATTATTATAATACACAATTCGCCTAAAAAAAAGTATTTTGTTCGTCCGAACAATCAATGAAAGCTACTTTGTTGTTGCCATGGTGATGAAGATGATTCGTATTTACAGGTGACCATGGCGACGAGTCATTTGTGGTGCAAATACGTAAATGCCAAAAAACAAATGGTAATTTTGAAATGGAGACAATTGAAAGGAAACATCATCTCATCATCAATTTGGCACATACATGATTTCGTTTTTATATAAAGGAGGTGAAACAACGCCACTTTGATGCGTTCAAATTTAAATGAGCGGCGATTGTTTTACAGAGAAGAATGGGGGGAGAGAGAGAACATAACGAACGAGTGATCGTATAGACAAAACATAGAATAGAGAAAGATTACTATTAATTATGTAGTTGTATAATGCATAGTAATAATATAAGACAAGATCGCACTCAAATAGTTAAATAGAATAGAGTAAGTGTGTGTGTGTTTTTTTTGTCCCCACCTCACGTATTTAAAAACAATATAAAATAAGAGAGAGAGAAAAGACAAACCACAATACTATAATCATTCCTCCTCCTCCTCCTCCACTCTTCTTATCGCGGCCACCAAATTATGCAACAAATTATGGAATGTAGTTAAACAAACTCACTTCTTCTCTGATAATTCGTGCAACTGCTCTGCCATGGTTATTGTTTTTCTTTTCAGCCGCCTCTTCATCATTTTCATTTGCTGAGTATTTATCGAGAGAAAAGAAACAAACATATAATCATAATTAATAGTAACGAAAACATGCGTACAGATTTCCCTAAAAGTAAGTTAGCTTTGATTCGTTTCGCACACTCGCTTGTTGTTTCGTATCCTCTTTTGTTTTTGGTACAAATATTCATCGCTTCTAAACGACATTATTTACAAGACCAAAACAAAACAAAAAAAAACAAATGCATTTCGCAACAACAAACAAAAGAATAATAATAATAGTAACAGAGAATCATCCATAATCATCAGATCAATAATATACATATAATCTCGATGTGCTCATTCTTTCATCTTTCCACCATTTAAATATTGATACATGCATACATACACTCTCAATATGCGATGTTAGTGTCTCGTTGAGCATTCTCGTTTTCTGTCTTTTTTTCATATAATATAATCATCGTCCATTCTTCATCGCTGCCGCCGCTGCTTCTGCTCTTGCTTCATCTACACACAGTAAAAATTATATACTTTATACAATTTAAAAAAATAAAACTTAATTTTCACCACCTTCTACATCATCATCATCATCATATACACACATCTTGTTGTTCAACTTTCTTCTCGCAGTCACAAAATAACCGTCTATTTCATCTTCTTCGTGTACAACACATATGTATATACATACACATATAGACCTTGTATCAAGCAATAAATAATAAACTTCTTCTGGTATACAATATTAATTTTCATTTAAATATAGATTTATATTAGAATTTCTCGCCGAGCGCCTTCGTTGATTGGTGTTGGTGGTGGTGTTTATTAATAAGTAGGTTAAGTTAGGAGATGATTGGTTTGGATAAGAGGAAACTTAACGGTTATTGAATCCCGTTCGTGATGTACTGAAAGCGATCGTACAGCTTCGTCGAGAGCGAGTTCATGCTGTCCTCCACCATCCGCTCCACCTCGGCGTGCATCTGCTCCTCGGTCAGGTTGGTCAGGAAGCGTTTCTTCATCTTCTGCACCGTCGATGGACCCAACTTGAAGCACGGCAGTTGCGATCCTGTCCGAGAGGAAACATTATACATGTATAGAATGATCAATATACTAATGATTGATTCGTTCGTTCGTACCTGATCGCATGATTTCGACGATGGGAATGATCTTGTCCTGGTGCTTCTTGACGGCGACGAGACCTTGCAGCATCAGGATCTTAAAGTACTGGAACATGTCTGAGTCGACGTCACCCATCACCTCGACGAATTCGGGCGTCAGTTTGAACGGGGACTTCTCGAAGCCGAGGTTCTTCGGCGACGTGGACAGAATGAAGCCGTAATCGATGTGGATGAGGTGGCCGTTGCTGCTCAGCAGGATGTTGCCGTTGTGACGGTCCTTCACCTGAATCAGGTACGAGATCAGGCAGTAGGCGGCGCAACTGTGCACGAAGTTGCGCTGCGCCTCGAGGAAGGCATCCGAATTGCTCGGTCCGTATTCGCGCACAAAATACTCGAGCAGTGATAGCTGAGAGTTCTTTTTGATCTGATGCAACGAGACGGTGTTCAGAATGGGCTCGATCAGGCCGCTGTCGCTCGACAAACACAATATTCTGCAACAAACAACAATATATAATTCGAATCGGAGTAAGTTTCACACGAAACGCTTACTTGTAGGGATGCACCCAGAGCGGTACGCATTCCATTTCCCAGATCTTCTGGAACATCTGCAGCAGTTGCGAGGCCATCAGCTCCTGCCGCAGATCGTCGCCGCACTTGACGATAACCGAGAGCAGTTTCCAGGAGGAGAGATGACCGTAGGGAGAGTTCTCACGCACGCGCCTCTCCTTATCCTTCCACAGCTCCTTCAGTGCGGCGGCACTCGGATCCTTCGGGTCGTGAGTGAATGCCTTCGTCTTGTCCTCGGCAAACCAATCGGACAGCCTCTTGCGGATATCTCCAGCTTCGATAAAGTGCGGCTGCTCACGCGAATCGCTCGACTCTTGGCTCAGCTGCGATATCGTGTCGCGATCGACCGTCTTCCGCAATTGATTGTACTGCAAACAGAAAATTCCATATGCAATTCCAATGTCTACGAGTGCAGAATAATAACAACAACTCACCTGCAGGGAAATCTCGTCGTCTTCCTGGCTCCAGTCTGGATCGTCGTCGCACATTATCCCGCACATGCTGAACGCCGACAGCGAGTTCGTATCTCCGCCCAAGTTTTCCTCGGATTTGGTATGCCTCAGAGAAGAGGTCATGATCTTCGTGGGCACAGCCGACGTGTACAAGTCGTCTACCTCCAACACCTCCACGTATATGATGTAGGGCGCCTGCACACATACACACAAACATTGCATCAGCTCAAGTACACGATGATTGCTAAATGATAGTAATAATTACCTTGTCTTTGGAGTTGAGTACGGCAGAGACCTGAGGCGGAATCCGCACAATGTGATGGGGCACCTCGCTGTTTAGTGGCAGCCAGACTCGGGCAGGAAGATTCAGGTTGAGCATGGTCAGCTCGGCCCTCAGTCTTGTAGTTTTCGCCTCTTTCGTCGGTATAGAACTCAGCAGCTTTCCGATGGCGATCAGCGCCTGCATGAAAGCCAACTCGGGATCCAACCGAGGCGCCTGCAAAACAAAACACATAAATATTGTAAATATTAAAAACTATACTGATTAAAGCTAATAAATGAAATCAGAGAGGCTATAAAATATTCGCATGATGATGGTGGTGGTGGTGGTGCAGGTGTTGGGCGTGCGTTTCGGGTTTCTTCACTTCGCTTCTGCACTTATATGTATATAAATTCCAGGTAGTCAATCTCGACTTGCACACAGCTGCCCGCCCGCCCTTCTTTCATCCATCCATTCGAAACCCGAAAAACCTTTCATTATGCGCGTATTTTTATCTCGAAAGCAGATGTTCATCGTCAGCAATCGAAAAACCGCAAAAGATATTATTGGCTTCGGAAGCAGCAGAAACATCTGCCTCGCATTTAGGATATTCAATGAGTTCTCCCTGCAACACACACACACACACCCGGACACCCGGTGTGCGAGGGGTGGTCGTCCTTCTCTTACGATACGGGATGACAAGACGTTGAGTAATGTCTCATGTCCCAAAAATAGATACGTGAGAATCTCAT